ATGACAAGTGTCGTGTTCGGGCCCTAAAGGCTCCGTCCTGGGCCCTCACGGGCCCTGTTTGGCAACCCTCGCCGCCTTGGGCCCATGCCGGGTCCACTTTTGCTGGCCCCCCGGGGCCCGACGAAAAGGCCCCCGTGAGGTTTGCCCGAAGGGCGGTCGGTTCAGCAAAATCACACACAGACACACACAGACACACAGACCCACACACAGACACACACAAACACACGCACACACACACACACAGTCACACACACACACACACACACACACTCACACTCACACGCACACGCACCCGCACCCGCACCCGCACCCGCACCCGCACCCGCACCCGCACACGCACACGCACACGCACACGCACACGCACACGCACACGCACACGCACACGCACACGCACACGCACACGCACACGCACACGCACACGCACACGCACACGCACACGCACACGCACACGCACTCGCACTCGCACACGCACTCGCACACGCACACGCACACGCACACGCACACGCACACACACACACACACGCACACACACACACACACGTCGTCGGCAGTCCAAAGGAACGGGCTGCGGCCAGGGACGGGGGGGGAAGGGTGGAGGGGAACACGGCGTCGATGCAGCGGTGTGTTAGTATTGCGTCTTGCTTGGTTCTTTGTTTTCGAAATAGTGGATTGCCCACGTATGCCTTGATATTGGTCCATTGGCATCTAAACGATACCCAAATCGAATTCGATCGACATCCACTGAATGTAAAATGTGTTGTAATCCAAGCATGTATGCAAACATCCCAACTGTGGAAGCATTTTTGAACACAACCCGCGTAGTCATCACATCCCTTTGCCCTTCCATGCTCTGGCACTCACCCTGACCATCACCATCATCAGCATCCGCATCATCAACATCATCATCACCGCACCAACATCACCAGCCACCATTACCACCATCAAATAATGGTCACTGGTCACCATCACGATCATCATCATCATCCTCCTCGTAACCACACCATGTTTTCACTGGACTCACCCATGCAATAAACACATACACCCACACAATCATTGCAACCATCATCGTTCATCATCATCATCATCATCATCATCACCATCGTCCACAAGATCACCACCAGCCGCAATAACATCATCATTAACAACATCCTAAGCATCAGCAGCATCATGGCCATCGCGAGTGACCCCCAAACAATTCTCAAAAGGATGCCGTTTGCGATGCGATCTGCCAAGCAGAAGCCCCTTTTTGGACCCCGTGAATCATGTTACCAATCCGACTGGGTCATCGGGACCCCCTAATTGTCGTCAGCTGTGGGCTCCACGAGGCCGAATATGAAGGAATTTCAAGCGGGAGCATCTTCGTTGTGTGAATGGGGAAAACGTCTCAAGCGAGAAACCTTACGAACTTTTTCCAAGCACCCGATTTTTCGAATTCTCGTCACTCTTGGGCCCCTCAATCTTGACTATGACGGAAGTTTCTGGCGGGAGCCTCGTCTGTGAACTGCGACGGAACCTCGAGCGGGCCCCCCCCTCTCCCCGCATGGGGTTCGCACCCACATTGCTAATCCGACCGGGCCAGCGGTTTCCTGCAATTGTCGTCACATCTTGCCTCGCGAATCTTGAATATGGCGGAAATTTCGACCGGGGTCCTCGTCTGTTCGCGAATTGCGATGAAGTCCGGGTAGGGACCTCCTCGCTATGGGGCACACAGCTCATGTCACTAAATAGAAACTCGCGCGGGCATCTCGTCTGTGAGCAGATCGCGAGGAAGTCTCGGGCGGGAGCCCCCCCCCGAAAGGCCCACATCTCATGCCGCTAATCCGAGCAGGTCATCGGGACCTTGTAAATAAATGTTGTCGCGTCTGGGCTCGCGAATCCTGAAGACTGCGGGAAGCTCGAGCGAAAGCTTCGGCTGTGAGCGAACGGCGAGGAAGCGCATGCAGAACATGCTGATCCTGCGGCCGCCCACGCGGAGAGCTCCTGGAGCGCAGGTCGTCGGTTTCCCTGCGAAAAGCGCCCAAGCAATGTGACAGGAGAGCGAAAAGCTCCAAGGCTGCAAGGCTGAGGCGGAACAGCTCGTGGCAGAGCTGCGTTTCGGGCTGCCTCCCGCCTGACCGCGCCCAAGACGACAAGCTCGAGACTTGCGGGGGCTGTCTCAGAGGCTTGCCCCCGCGCCCAGTCGGCCCGAGGAAGTGTCCCAACGGCCTGGCCCACGGGGTTGTCCCAACGGCTTCGCGATCTGGCCATCGGAGCACGCGCCCGTCCCGGCCGTGGCGGCAGCGGCGCTAAGAACATCGCATTGCGCGCCCGTGCTAAAAGGGGCGGGGGGGGGATGGGGCAGAAGAGGCAGGATGACGAGAGGAGGCAGAACACGGGGTAACTAAGAAGAAAGAATCCGCCAAAACGACAAAAAGCGACGAGGAATTTGAAACACCACCTCTACACCCACAGGGACGACGATCAAATTGACTTGCAGATTAGCGTGGGAGATTCCCATGCGGGTCCCACCATCGGAATAATTACTGGCTTCCGAATCAAATTTAATTGCAACACTCTTGAACTGGGCCCTCCCGCAATTCCAATTGAACTCAAACCGGGGTCGTGGTCGAATCCCAAGGGGATCCTCTGAATCTGGGGTGTGTCTCGTCCCGAGTGAACTCGTACTTGGGGCCAAGCCGGCCGTTGCTCCGTGATCAATGAATCCCCGAGGGGCTCCTACGCAAAATCACTTGGAACCTCCTGATGCATTGATACGCTTCTTTCCTGTGTGACCCCCTTATAGAAATTCTTAACAGTTTAGTCATCACTTTAAGCTGCGACCATTCCCATTGAACTTCTGTCGAAGGCACATGAAAACACCACGACCAAGCTCTCAAGATCGGGTCTGCCCCGATTCAATTGAATTCGATGGTCCTATCTTCCACTTCCAATGGGAACTTCCTGAATCTAAGGTCTGCCCAATTCCTTCTGAATTCAGCTTGGAAAACTATACCCATCCATCCACATTTTTTTAACCATTGGGCCTGCGACTCCACCACGCTCCTGCCTTTGACAAAGGGTGGTGGTCATGGCGGTCCTGGCTCTCCTGCTCATCCTTTTCTCCACAAAACCATCCTCCTTCGCATCATCCCGCTACAACCACTCCGTTCTCGGTTGCGACGCCCATTACTCACCAATTTGGCGTTACGTTCGTGACCGATGCTACTTCGGCGGCGTCTACTCATACGACTACTAAAAAACAACGACGGTACCAACCGTGATGCTAATCGGAAGAGTAGTGATGGTAGTCATAGTAATCGTGGCTGTCAAAGTACGAAGCGTAGCACTACTATTAGCGGTAGTGGCAGTAAACATGTCCCTGGTTACAGCAACTGTTATAGCCGTCGCTGCAATACTGGAGCCTCGAAACTAAAATAGTGATGGGGGAAGGGGAAACATCGAAGGAACGGACTAAACAAGACCACCACCCCAACTGCCACCACCGCAACTGACCAAATAAAAGGGGTGGTGGCAAAACGGAATATTGGTAGCGGTGATGGTGGTGGAAATGGTGGCTTTAGTACTTGCAGAAGTCACACGCTGATTTGCGAGAGTAGCAGCAGGTTGTGGTAGGAATGGAGGAGCATGGGTAGCAAGAACGCTCCCACTTGTAAAATAAACCGTTTTACTAGTAGGTGGGATGGGGGAGGCGGCAGCCAAACATCTGCTGAAAGCGAACCAGAGAGCATACATAACGCTGAACACATAAGCTGTTCAGAAAGGACCAACGTGGAACGGTCCAAACCAGAGCTGCCCTTCTTGACCTGGGGGCCACTCAGTCTACAGAAAAGTGGCAACTGGATTCGGCACAGGGTGCCCAAACGTAGTAACTGCTTTGCAACATCGTGTAAGACTGGCATAAGGAGTCCCTTTGTGGCAGCAAAAGGACAAACATTCTTCCTGTGGCGGCCGTTCAAACATAATTGATGCGTAGCGTTCTTTCGAAGGCCGGGTCTTGGATCGGGGGTCAGATTTCCAGATTCCCAACAGTCTAAACAACAAACGACAAACACAACGAACACATCAGAACAAAGAGTCGCACCATTGCTAAAGCACTGTGTTGTACTGGTGTCACATGTTCCCGACCTGCTGAACCGATGGCACTGTTGTAAAGAATGTGTTAGCTATTGATGACTAATTGTTTTAAGTTACGCTGTGGTCCCTGTGCCTGCGCAGGGGACACTGAACCTTGAGACTGCTGCATTGGCTGTAAACCAATATATATGTATGAACAGAAGCGCTATTCTGTGACACTGTAACCTGTGCTTTTTGTGCATGCATTCGTATAACGGCTTTTTCAACGTTGACTGTTTTTCTGTTGCCTTGCGTGTTCGGTCGGGGGCTCAGGATTTCTGAATTCTCAAGGCCCAGAACACAAAGCATAAGCAATTTCTAAAACAAAATGCGGACGCACTGTCTTTTTACAGCTTTCGCCTGTCTCCGATCTAGAACAGGTAATGCCAAAGCAGATGTTTGTGCCTGAGTTTGGTTTGGCGTCTAACAAACAAAGACGTTTTGGGACAGAGTGATTCCTGTGCCTGCACAGAAGCAACTAAGGTTTAAGACCTCCTAGTTTGTTGAACATGACTTACAAATACAACTACCCATATGTACCGACGACGAAACTAACTTTTTTTATCTGGAAGCGATGGGACATGTAAAATAGTAGTGTTTCAGCAATTTGATGGCGGCGTGCTATGTTGTTTTAGAGTGTTCAATGTGTGGTATGGTTGTTCTGGGGTCATGTATTGTTGGTAGACGGGTTCAGGTTTTCAAACTTCGAACGGCTTAGAAAATCAAGTCAAGCAGCATACCAATACATGTCATATAACATGTGACAGAAATTAATAACACGATTGCTGAAACACTGCGTAGATACTGGTGACACCGGTTCCCGACATACAAACCAAGTGTTGTTGTCAAAGCTGATTGCGTTCGTTCACTGTAACTCGTTGTCTTGTTTAACAGAGGGATCCTAAGACCAGGTGTTCCCTGTGCCTGCGCAAGGATCAGCGAGGCCTAAAACACATTGATTATCAGAATTGAAAACCAACAAACGGTGAAGAAACATGTATGCTTAACAATGAAACCGATCTTTAGGTCGGTACAAGTGAACCCTGTGAAAGCATACTACTGTTTCCAAACGTGTAATACTGTGTTTTATGTTTGTAGAGTTGTGTGGCCCATGATTGTATATTGTGTTGTTGCCGGGTGTCTTGGATTTGATCGGTCTGAAATCCTTGGCTCGATGTTGCACGAGCACGCGACAAATAAGGAAAGCCAGAGAGAGAGAGAGAGATGGAGACAACACGTGCATTGAGAGACGGCAAGGCAAACATGAAGACCGCATTAAACTCATACGAAGATGAACACGCATTGGTAACAACGGACCACGTAAATCTCATACGAAGATGAGCACGGAACGCAAACAAAGAGAACGCTAACGTATATATACAAAAACATGTGTGTTCATATATATATATATATATATATATATATATATTACCCGAACCGGGTAGACGTCCACGGACGCCGTTTCCTGCTCCTCCTCTTCTTGCTCTTCCTCCTCCTCCTCCTCCTCCATCGTCCCTCGTCCCCTTCCTCCTCCCTCGTCCCCGCTCTTCCTCCTCTCCCTCCTACTCCCTGGCCCCCTGCTCCCTCGGATGGGCACTCCTCTATCTTTCTCTGATCGGAACGTCTTTCCGACCCTTTGGCCTGAGCCACTGCCCCCTGAAACATTGCTCCTTGTCCCTCGGGTCATACCTCGGCTCTCCGGCTCTCCAGCGGCCGTTCGGCACGACCCGGACAGCCCGAGAACGCTCTCGGCGAGGCGCAGTTGCTGGAGCGCACCCCCACTGGACAACACGGTAATAACCGACGAGGCCGCCCGAAAACCTGGGCGAATCCCCATCTCTCAGCGGACTGCGCACCTCCTCCCCCTGTTTGCCAGGGAGGGCACACTGTTTCTGTTACACCTCCTCGAGAGGGTCGCCCTGTGGCCCAGGGAAAAGAAGAATGCAGCAAGGAGGAGCAACAGCAGCAGCTGCTCGGGCGTTGCTAGAAGTGCCCCTGTCCCAGGGTGTCCCCAGGATTTCCCAGGAGGCCCCACGGCATCCAGAGCAACCCTCACGAGGCCCAGGGGGCCCCAGGAGCCCAAAATTGAGCGAAAAGGTGGGGGCACCCTGGGACAGGGGCACCTTTATTTACCCCCGAGCAGCAGCAGCGGCAGCATACGGCGCAGAGCAGCCACCGAGGGCACACGCTCGCGGGCGCGTAGAAAGCCACGAAGGCGGTGGAGAGCAGCGTGGTGAGCGTGGCTGCGGCGCTGTACGGCGGCAGCTCGCGGATGGACCGCTCCGCCTGCGGGGCGGCGACGACGGCGGCGACCTCGATCACGACGCCCTGGACGACGACGACGACGACGACGAAGGGGAGCCGCGCAGTCATACACCAATGTGTCTTGGCCCTGTCCCGCAGGGCTTCGCCGAAACGTCACTGGACAACGTATGGTGGAGATGTTTCTGGCCAGAACTGTGGGCGACAGGTGTGGAAATACAAAACAAATAGTAATACGATTCATACGATTAACAATAGAAACAATAATAATCGCAGTACGGCAATTAACAACAAGCAATACTGATGATACTGATAATAATTTCATCAGACATATATCCACACATATGTACATGTATCTCAGATATAAATAGACACAGCTGTGATCTCTCTCTCTCTCTCTCTCTCTCTCTCTATATATATACATACGTATACATAGATGCACGCTATGTGCTGGGCGGCATTCGACACCCACTGGTGGACAACAGACAGCCCTACGAGGGGCCCAATCGGGGGAGCTCGAATTGAACTTTCCAGCTTGCCCACCCGCACGATCGTCCCAAGACGCCCGAGATGGCCTCCAGACGGCCCAAGACGCCGCCAAGAAGCCCCGAGGGAGCCTCAAGAGGCTCTCCCAGAAGGCCTCAACAAGCAACAAGTGTCCCATGCCATTCAGAAAATGTGCATTTTGCGCCTGTACGACGTGTCGAGGTCCAGCGCGTCCAACACTGCCCACGAGACCTTCAAGATCGCCCCAAGACGGCCCAACACACTCCCAATATGGGCCCCACACGGCCCAAGAGGGCCCCAAGACGGCCCACGAGGCCCTCCGGACAGCCCAAGACAGCCCTAAGAGGAGCCCCATCGAAGGAACACAAATCCCACCAGCCTTTTAAGGCGTAGGTGGTTTAGGGTGTTTCCTCTTCCACCCCCTTCTTCCCATTCGGGGAGGGGTTCACCCCTCGCCCGGACCTGGAGGGGGCGTTTCGCGGGTCGTCGGAGCGTCCAAAACAGCCTCGGCGAGGAAGCCAAAATCATTGGTTTTACTAGGGTGTTGGCCCCATTTTGGCCTCTTGGGGGGGCAGCGCTAATTGAGGGACTCCCCTTCTGTGATCGATCTCCTCCGAAATGGCCCCAAGAGCGCTCCCGAGACTCCCAAGGGTGCCCGAAGAAGGGCCCCAAGAGGTGGCCAGGAGGCTCCAAGAGGCCCCCAGGATGCCCCCAAGAGGCTCCCAAGAGACCCCCTAAGAGGCCCCAAGAGGCCCCCCAGAGGCACCGAAGACGCTCCAAGAGACCTCGGCGAGAATGCCACAATCATTGATTTTACTAAGGTTTTGGCAACATGTTGGCCTCCTGGGGGGGGAGGCACTGCTTAAGATGACTCCAAGAGCGCCTGGGAAAGCCCAAGATGGCCTCCAAGATGGCTCAAAATATCCCAAGATGCATCAGCATGGCTCCCACGATGCTCGAGGCCCCAAGACCGCTCCAAGACCGCTCCAAGTGGCCAAAGAGCTCCCCCAGGAGGCCCCGAAGAGGCCCAAATCCTTCCAACACCTTAGGAAAATCAATGTGTTTGGCTTTCTCGCCTTTTCGCTTCCGATGGCCATCCGAGGCTTCACGATGGCTCCAAGATGGCCCAAGAGGGCTCCAAGAGCGCTCCCGAGGCTCCCAAGAGCGCTTCAAGAGGGCCCCAAGAGGCGCCCAGGAAGCCCCAGGAGGCCCCAACCCAACAGGCGCCCAAGAGGCCTCCAAGAGGCTCCCAAGAGACCCCCAAGAGGCCCCAAGAAGCTCTCCGCGGCACCGAAGACGCTCCAAGAGCCCTCCACTGGGGGACCCTTCCTCTGTGTGCTGCCTTCTTCCCTGATCGAGGCAATTCCTCTCGGCATCGTTTCTGGATATTCCTCCTCCTCCTCCTCCTCCTCCTCCTCCTCCTCCTCCTCCTCCTCTTCCTGTGGTCGCATTCACAAGCCGCCACCCTTCAAAACGGAAAGGCTCAAACTTGCGACGAATACCTCGGATCTGCGACATGACATGGCCCCACAGCGACCATCCAAAATCATCAACCCCTCACCGACACAAGCAAATAAATCACCGACCAAACCCGTGATCACCCACGATTGCCCCAGGACAATCCCGCCAGAATCTGCGACGAACCCCCGAAATCAAATCCACCGTCACTGCGACCCCCTCAGGGATACACCCCCAAATCGACAGAGGCGCGACAATAAGGGCCAGCGGAATGAGCGAAGCGATAAAATACATTCGCTCGGGACCGTCTGGAAAGTGCTGCGCTGCTCGCCGACAGCCAACGCTGGTGGCTGCGAGGCGAGGCGAGGCGGCCTCGCCTGCGCCTGCCACATCCCCTCCCTCCTGCTATCCCATCTTCTCATCTTCTCCATCCTTCTCCTCATCCTCGTCCTCGTCCTCGTCGTCGTCGTCGTCGTCGGCGGCGGCCTCAGCACCATCATCATCATCAGCATCATCATCATCAACATCACCATCACCATCACCATCACCATCATCATCATCATCAGCAACATCATCATCATCATCAGCGTCATCATCATGACCATCATCATCATCATCATCAACATCATCATCATCATGACCATGACCACGACCATCATCAAAATAATGATCATCATCATTACCACCGCTGTCAACATCACCATCGTCACCACCACCACCATCATCAGCATCACCACCATCACCAACACCATCACCATCACCATCACCGTCATCGTCAATGTCATCATCCTCACCCTTACCAGAATCATCAACATCAGCATCATCTGCATCATACGTATCATCATCGTCAGCATCATGATCATCAGCATCAACATCACCTTCAACAACATCACCATCACCATCAACATCATCATCAACCGCCACCGCTTCATCATCATGCTCACCATCATCAGCATTAGCGTCGTCATCATCATCATCATCAGCATCATCATCATTATCAACATCATCAGTGTCGACATGATCAGTAGCATCACCATATGGTCATCATCATCACCACTCTTGTCAAGTTTACCAGCATCACCATCATCATCAGTAGTAGTATCAGCATCGTCGGCATCAATATACTCATCATCAACATCATCATCACCTCCATCAGCATCATCAGCGTCGTCAGCATCCTCCATCTCTTCATCATCATGACCATCATCAGCACCATCAGGAACAACGGCATCATCATCAGCATTCCTATCCTCACCACAGTTAATCATCTGCATTATCATCACCCTCATCACCATCATCCCAATCATCAGTTTTATCACCATCATCATCATCAGCAGCATGTCAGCAACAGCATGATAATCATTTGCATCAGCATCATCACATCATCATCATCATCATCATCATCATCATCATCATCATCATCATCAACATTATCATCCTCACCATCATCATCAGCATCATAACCATCACCATCACCATCACCATCACCATCACCATCATCAGCAACATCGTCGTGATATCCACCACACTCGCCATCCTCCTCATCATCACCCTCCTCATCCTCATCCTCCTCCCCAACATCATCACCATCACCCTCCTCCTCCCCCCCGGCTCCCGCCTGTTGGGCCCAGCCGTCCGCCGCTGCGGAGACCTGCGCGGGGGCTGCATGCGCAGAGGACGACGACAACGACGAAGTGAACGACGACGACGACGAGGACGACGACGACAACGACGACGACGAGGGCGAGAACGAGGACGACGACGAGAGCGCGAGGAGCACGACGACGAGAACGACGACGGCGGCGACGAGAACGACGACGACGACGACGACGACGACGACGACGACGACGACGACGACGACAACGATGACGAGGCCGACGGCTCGCCATGTGCAACGCCTCGGAGCGAGTCCGAAAGGCAGTGTTGGCTCATGGGGCAGAAACAGGGCGAGGGTCGGGTGCTCGTTCACGGGGGGTCAGTCAACCGAGGGTGAGGAAACGTCGCGCCCCGCGGGTTGGGGGGGGCGGAGGTCGCGAGCACGGCTGGGGTATTGCGAGGACATTGGATACAGAAACCTTGGATCAGGAATCCAGGGTCTGGAAGCTGGTGGAGCACCAATTGAGGTTTGACCACGGATATCACCAACGCCCTCATCATACATCTCATCCTCCAGGGTCTGCAGCCTCCTGGGCACTCTCCTTCACGAACTCCCCCACCGTGCAAACTTAGAGGCATCCAGAGCAGGGTCAAAATATATGAGGTCGGAGGCTCGCACCGCATCGCCGATGCATCGCCAATGCATCGGCGACGTCGGCGATACAGCGGCGCCGCTGGCGTGGAGAAAGTCGGGCTCCATACGGAGCCGCATCGCCAATGCATCGGCGATGCGGCGCGATCATCCAACCCCATCTAGTCGACCACATCTGGGAAGCCTCGGCACATGTACGGCCACCTGCCGAACACATTGTTTTTCCAATGGGTTTTCTCTGATCTCCGACTCTCCGGGCCCTGTTGAGCCAGTCTTGGGCCTCTTTGGGGCTCGTCTGGGGACTCAGTTTGAGCCGTCCTGGGGCTATCTCGACGCCTCAAGAGCCGATCGTTAACGAAATGGCGAGAAGACCAAAACCATTGATTTCCCAATGGGTTTTCATTGAATTCCAATTATTTGGGCCGTCTTCGGCCAGCCGTGGGGTGGGCCTCGGCTTGCGCCTCTCTGGGCCTCCCGAGCCAACGGGAAGCGAAAAGGCGAGAAGACCGAAAACACTGCTTTTTCAATTGGTGTTTATTGATTTTCTAACGTCTGGGCCGTCTAGGGCCGATATGTGCCTTCTTTGGGGCTCGTCTGGGGACTCATTTGGAGCCGTCCTGGGCCCATCTTGATGCCTCAAGAGCCAATCATTAGAAATGGCGAGAAGACCAAAAACATTGATTCTCCAATGGATTATCATGGATGTTCAATTATTTGGGCCCTCCTCGGCCAGACTTGGGCCTATGTGGGCCTCGGCTTACGCCTCTTTGAGGCCATCCTGGGGTCACTTGGGGCCGTCCTGGGGCTTGCTTGACGCCTCAAGAGCCGATCCTAAGCGACATGCGAGAAGGCGTAAACCGGTGATTTTAAAAATGGGTCTTCATTGATGATATATTTTTGTTGGAGACCTTTTTCCCAACCATCCTGTGGTGTTGGGTCCTCGTCTTGAAGAGACGGTCCCCGCGTTCTCCCCTTCCCTTCCTCCGTCCCTCATTCCTTCCTTCCTTCCTTCCTTCCTTCCTTCCTTCCTTCCTCCTCCCCCTCCTCCCTCCTCCTATCCCTGCCTCTGCCCTGCGCATGTCCTCGTCGTCGTCGTCGTCATCATCATCATCACCATAGGGAGCTCCACCGAATGCCCCAGTGGCGGTGTCCACATGCCACCGAGCACAGCGTTTCGTGGGAGCTCCACCGAATGCCGCAGTGGCGGTGTCCAAATGCGTCTCCCCCACCGGCGCAGCGCTTCGTGGCCCCATAGGGAGATCCGCTGAATGCCCCAGTGGCGGCCTCCACATGAGTCCCCCCCACCCAGCACAGCGTTAGGTGGCCCCATAGGGAGCCCCACCAAATGCCCCAGTGGCGGTGTCCACATGCGTCTCCCCCACCCAGAACAACGCTTCGTGGCCCCATAGGGAGCTCCACCGAAGGCCCCAGTGGCGGTGTCCACATGCGCCTCCCCCACCCAGCACCGCGTTACGTGGCCCCATAGGGAGCTCCACCGAATGCCCCAGTGGCGGCGTCCACATGCGTCTGCGCTTCTTGGCCCCACAAGGGGCTCCACCGAATGCCCCAGTGGCGGCGTCCACATGCGTCTCCCCCATCCGGCACACCGTTTCGTGGCCCCACAGGGAGCTCCACCGAATGCCCCAGTGGCGGTGTCCACATGCGTCTTCCCCACCCAGCACAGCGCCTTGTGGCCCCATAGGGAGCTCCACCGAATGCCCCAGTGGCGGTGTCCACATGAGTCTCCCCAACCCAGTACAGCACTTCGTTTCGTAGCCCAATAGGGAGCTCCACCGAAGGCCCCAGTGGCGGTGTCCACATGCGTCTCCCCAACCTGGCAGGGGCTTCGTGGCCCCATAGGGAGCTCCACCGAAAGCCCCAATGGCGGTGTCTACGTGCGCCTCCCCCGCCCAGTGCAGCGCTTCGTGGCCCCATAGGGTGCTACGCCGAAGGCCCCAGTGGCGGTGTCCACATGCGTCTCCCTAACCAAGCACTGCGTTTCGGGGCCCCATAGGGAGGTCCTCCTAAGGCCCCAGTGGCGGTGTCCACATGCGTCTCCCCAACCCTGCACAGCGCTTCGTGGCCCCATAGGGAGCTCCACCGAAGGCCCCAGTGGCGGTGTCCACATGAGTCTCCTCAACCTGGCACAGCGCTTCGTGGCCCCATAGGGAGCTCCACCGAAAGCCCCAATGGCGGTGACGACATGCGCCTCCCCCACCCAGTGCAGCGCTTCGTGGCCCCATGGGGAGCTCCATCGAAGGCCCCAGTGGCGTTGTCCACATGCGTCTCCCCAACCTGGCAGGGGCTTCGTGGCCCCATAGGGTGCTCCGCCGAAGGCCTCAGTGGCGGTGTCCACATGCGCCTCCCCAACCAAGCACTGCGTTGAAGGGCCCCATGGGGAGCTCCACCGAAGGCCCCAGTGGCGGTGCCCACATGCGTCTCCCCCACCCAGCACAGCGCTTCGTGGCCACACAGGGAGCTCCGCCGAAGGCCCCAGTGGCGGTGTCCACGTGCGCCCCATAGGGAGCTCCACCGAATGCCCCACTGGCGGTGTCCACATGCGTCTCCCCCACCCAACACAGCGTCCCGTGGCCCCACAGGGCTCCACCGAATGCCCCAGTGGCGGTGCCCACATGCGTTTCCGGCATCTATTGCGCCGACTGAATTCGAATGACTACACCAGCCAGAGGGAATCAAAAACATGCCACGCGCTGAGTTGCACAGGACGCCGAAGAGGACAGGAGATGCTTAGGCAATCGTTAGCTGCCCGACCGCGGCCGTTCATTCTGAAGTCTGCACGGGGCACGGTGTCATCGACCAGGGGCGCCAAAGCTGATCCGAGAATTCCGCGCTGGCCTGGGAGATCCGTGTGGATCCCGTGAGACGAGGGCCAGCGAGGGAGGATGATGAGTCAGTCCGTTGTGGAGCAACTGGCTTCGCGACTGATGCGGAAGGGATTCGGTCATGCTGCACTGCCCTTGGCCATAAAAACTCGGACCTTGGTTGGACTAACACAGCACCGCCGATAGCTCACTAGACAAGCACAAACAACTCCTTCTAACCGAGTCTCGCCGACAATATAGGCGCAAAGGCGCGAATAGCATAACGAAAAGCCTACGCGTATTTAAATTGTAAGAAGACTGGGCGATGGTCTGATCAAAACGCCCAGGATGCGGGGACCACGCCCCGAAGCAGAACGCAACTGTGCTTCAACCTGAACTTTCGAAACCTATGCTCCAACACCACCACTGAGCCATGCATCCGGCAGGACGCGCAGGCGGCAAAGTGCGCGACTGGCAAATCTTCGGGCGAATAGCTAACAAATGCAAGAAGACCGAAATCCCACTCAATTGGATCGAGCATTCTGCGATCTTACTGCTGGCGCAGCTGGAGCGGATGCGTCTGGAACCGACCAAACTCTCGCTGAGGGAAACGAAGCGCAAGTGATCGAAACCTGTGCTGTGGCACCGACTGCGGCGGGCAAAACAAACAACTAATTGGTGACCACACCCTCGGGGCAGGGCGGGCCCTCAGGGCCTACTACCCCACCAGTCATCAAAGCGGGCGCAAGCCGTTGATCGGCTTGTGGGAAAGAGGCACCGCCAGGCTAACTACACACTGACATGGCTATTACCCGTACGGCTGCTACCAGGGGGGGTGTTGGGCCGGCGGGTAATAGTAACGGCGGCCGCAGCGTGCGCCCGCAGGGGTGCGTCCGCGCCATCGGCACATCAATTGCCTGCGTGCGCTGCACTCCCTGCGCACGCTACAGTGCCGAATGCACCTGTGCAAGACAAAACCGCCCGAATGCACCACAGTGGTTCGGTACACCACAACACCTGTGTGCACAACGCCACCAGATCGCCCACGTACGCCGCAAAATCTGTATACTGCAGCAAACGTGTGCGCAACAACGCTTGTGTACATCAAACTGCCTGCGTGTGCCAGAGCGGTCGTATACACTGGAGCGCCCGCGTGCACCACGACAACCATGTGCACCACAGCGCGCCCGCGCACACCACAATGCTTCCGTGCACCACAGCGCCCGTCTACAACAAAACGTGCCAACGGGCACATCAATAACTTGCGATATTTTGTTTTGCGGGGCCCGCCACAGGCCGCGGAAACCCTCACCACGTCAACCGTGCACACGGCAGCACCTGGAGAGTAGTATCGATGGTACGCAAGCTGCTGGGTTGGCGCTCAATGAAGTTTTGGCAAACTCAATTGTTGCTTGCTTCGAACGAAACGGCCAAACTGAAATGGACATGTATGAGAAGACGGGGGACTCGGGAACGAGGTGGGGGAACTCGGGAGCGAAGTGAGAGGTGGGCGCGGTTGGAAGGATATGGGATATGTTGTTAAACGAACACATGGACACATAAGATCGAACAGCAACGTCG